ATATGATTTAACCTGGCATTAAATTGTGGTGTTAAGATGCTTTTTATTGTTTAATTGGGAGGAAAAAAAAATGTATTCAAATCATTTAGCAGGCAAGTGTTAAACGATATTGAGAGGAAGTGTGTGTCGATTTAAATTTAGAATCAAGTCTACATATAAGGGAAAAAAATATCTCTGTTTAGAAGAAAGATAAACTTTTTTATCAGTCAGGATGGTTAAATGTTTATCTTGTAACCTGAATTAAAACCTGGCAAATTTTAATCAGTTTGCACCTGGATGTGACTACCTTTTTTATTTCATAGAGGTCTGCAATATTCTTTTCATTATCACTGTTTTTATTTTCCATTTGTAAATAATGGCAATTCTTTGTCTGGCTTCTCAACTAACAAGCAACATGATTTGCTTAGGAAATTTCTCCTTGGTCTCTTGAATACTAATATTCGGACATCTGTCATGCAATCATTACAGACCCAAATTTTATCTGACAAATGGTATTTTAACCAATAACCTCGGGAAATATTTGATTATTGGCCTTCCCTTATTTCAAATAATTTCCTAGCTATACAGAAGAAGGCTGGTGAGTTTTAACTATCTTTTCCAATCTTCTGCTAAAAACTAAATTGTTAAGTAAATTATTTACTCCTTTGAATAGGATCTACATATTCCAGACAATTTAACCAGCACCACTCTCTTTGCCATCATATTTTGTGTATTCTTGTTGGAAAAACTTTGTTTGGAAAAATGCCTGTAAGGAAATCCAAAAATGTATTTCAAATATGACTATTTGTGTTTGGTTTTATTTTAAATTGTCTGTATTTTTAGAAGTAGCATATTGTTATTTGAAAATTTTGTCTCGATGTAGTGCAGGTGATATGACATTAGAGGCTGTAAATTTTATAAGGGCATGTCTCTTAACATTCATTTTTTTAGTTTGTTTGGCAGGTAGAGACTTTTTTCTGAGGTGTGTTTTTGTCAGAATTACTGAGAGTATTATGTTGTTTTGGTGTCTTAAAAGATTGGATAAAAAGAAAAACTATAATAGTTTTGTAACAAACTGACGAAGGAATCTTTTGGTTCATGTCAATAGCCATGGTTTCCTTTTTTGGGAGCTCTAGTAACTTGGTCAATAGAAAATGCAATGCAATTGGGGCAATTCCTGTCCAGTGAATGCAAAATAACTATGCTTCTTTTCCCTCAGAATTTGGCCATCAAATGATTTAGGGCAATTGCAGTTTTATGCTAATGCTGATTGTAAGGTTATAAACTTGTTAAATTAAATCCAAAAGAAATCTCTAGTCAAATAAAATGTGACTAAAATCAAAGTTATTTTAATAATAATAATAATAATAATAATAATAATAATAAGGGGGGGCAGTGGGCAGTGCTCTTGTGCACGCTGAATATTGCCCGGACTTTCAAGGTGGCAGTTTGAGTTCCTGTTAGAAGGAGAACTGTAGACACAACAGAAAAGCTTTTTTAGGATTAGTTCATGTACATTTATTTTTTTACTCCTTTGCTCACAGGTTACGGTTTTTGCCCTGTGCTGCCTGTTTAGAATGTAGCATTCAGTTGATTTCTCTGCGACAATAATTTAATATTTATATAGTGCAAATTAACATGTGGATATGATCAAATGCGCATCACAACACTTTTCGAGGGACTTTAGCCGGACTGCATCAGCAGTTTACAAGCAATCGAAGGAGACTTATTTGAAGATACCCCCTCCCCCCAATTCCCAGTAAACAGGCCAGACCACATCACAGTAATCTTGTGAGTGGGTTCTTTAACGTCCCCTGCCTAACCAAATTAACTAATTAATAGATGCAGGAGACAGGACCTACAGTTTATTCATCCTTATCCGAGAAGACTAGAATGTCTATCCATTTCTTGATATTATAGAAAGGTAGCACATTCTCCTCAGTTATTTTAAGACCTTGAGTGTTGGTCTGGCCGGGGCTTGAACCACTGACCTCGACCTCACACACAACAGTCCAGCGCTCAACCAATTGAGCTAACCGGGAGGCAGTTTATTGTTTAAAATAATCATGGAAAATGATGGTGATTATTTTCTGAAGAAAGATTAGTTGAAAATGATCCTCTGATTGCCACCTTTCAAACAGTATTCAAACAGTATTCAAACAGTCACATCGCTCCAAGACAGAAAAGCTAAAACCACCTGGCATTCTAGCATAATAAATTGTTCCTCATCAATGTACTGCTTGGTAGCTGTCATTTGTATAGTCACATGTGAGAGTTTTTGTCTGTCAAAATTTGAAAAGGTGTACAGTGTCCTTCTGAATGCACCTAGAAAACTCCCTTAAAATTCCCCTAAAAGTGATTATCAGCTTGTATTCAAACAGTCACATCACTCCAAGACAGAAAAGCTAAAACCACCTGGCATTCTAGCATAATAAATTGTTCCTCATCAATGTACTGCTTGGTAGCTATCATTTGTATGGTCACATGTGAGAGTTTTGTCTGCAGACAATAGAGCATACTAGAGCTTCAATGAGAAAGTTAGTTTGACCCTGTATGCTGTATTAAACATGGTACTTCTCATTAGCTTTCGTTTGAAAGGACACATTAGAACCATCTTGTCCAGCATAGTATATGGCACCATTATTAATCAGCTGAAAAGCATTTAATCAGAATGATGTGAAGCCCAGGGCCCTCTTGTTTGAAGGCCAGGGAGGGTTAACCCAGCGTTAAATTTTGGTTTGGGTTTCTAAGTTCCTTTTTTCAAAATCCCTTTTTAGGTAATTTTCTCTATTTTTTTGGAGCATCCAATCAAAAAATTGTATGAAAAGAGAATAATGTGATTTTTCTTTTGAAGCTTCCAGATCTGAAATCAGATTTGGCACTTACCTTGGGTTATCTAAACGTAGCTTTGAGCAACCTGGCCCAGGGGTATTTTGAAATATTATTAGATTGATTTTTTATACTTGAATGTTTTGGGAAAATAAACAAGTCTAAGAGCAGCTTGCAGAAAGAGGTGAAACCAAATAATCTCTTTGTACCTGACTCATTGCAATTTAACTTAGCAGAGCATCAAGGTGAAGATAGCAAACTCACCTTTTTATTGCCACATATGTCTTATATTGCTTGCGGTGAGAATTTCTTAGGGTATCCCTTGGTTACAGATTATTATTATTGTTATACCCTCTCAAGGCTCTACACTAACTTTTTAACTTTCTAGCCAAGTGGCTAGTGACATTTTAGATGTTACGACAATTTCGTTTTGTTTACTAGCCAAACTGGCCCGTGGAAATTAAAAACCTCCAGCCAAAACTGAATTTCTACTAGTCTGTGGCTAGAGGGCTACCATTAGTGTTGAGCCCTGTCTCTGTGAGACCAGACCATAGAAGATCAAACTGATTTTCAATATTCTTTCATACTGCCATGCGGCTAAGCATTTTTTCGAGAACTATTTCACTCTCAAAATATAAGGGTCAGTTTTCTGCTCTGTTTGCCATGTAGTACATTTGTTTTAAATTCAGCTTTGAGAATTTGGAGTAAAATCAAACAACATACGCTTAATTTTTTTTTATTTTCATTACTCCTCTTTACCTTTGTTGATATTTTAAGAGGAAATCATTTTTGGTCACTCCCAAGAGTGCAAGGGTTAATTTGACAAACCTGAAAGATCTGAGTTGGGAGAAATGAGAGACTTTGGAATAAATTTACATCATGATTGCACTTTGTTGTTAAAAATGAAGTCTCAATAATCCATGGTGAACTTTTACTTTGTTTACTGTAATTGGCTATGCTGTAGTGGTCTCCCTGACTAAGATTTCCATGTTTATAGCCATCAAATTTTGATGTAGCATCTCCCTACAAATTTGATACATTATTATTTTTTTGGAGAGAATATTTAAACTTCTCTACAATGAAATGTAAAGTACCTTGAGGTTGGAATCACCAAATGCATCACAAGAGTAAAAGATGGTTATTGTTTATTTCTTCTGTGGAAAGTGTTCTTTTACTTTAGAAGTTTTTGTAATGAACATGCACATTCATTTTGTCCTTTTATGCTTCCCCCTACATTCTGTGGGTGGATTTGTCTTAGTGGTAGTTTTTGGACTATCACTTGTGGCCATCTTCCCTGGGGGTATTTCTGTCATCAAAATTGAGGAAAAAATTTTAAGATTTATGAAAAGCCTTTCTTTGAAATTGTTATTAAATTATGAGAGCTGTAGATTTTACTGCCCACAATGTGGCTTGTTACTTTAAAAGTTTTTGAAATCACTTGAGACCATTTTTTTTTTCAAAATGTAGGGATAAACATTTCACATCAGATTCAAGCATGGATTTTAAAATTTTTATTACATGCATTTGCACAGTTTTTTTGTCATCTTCTTTGTAAAAGTAATTGAAAATATGTCAAGAAAGTGATTAATGAGTACCTGCAGATAACAGCAAAGAGAGCTATTTTCATCATTTCATGTTTATTTTACTTATGGCTATTTATATGCCTACAGCTGCAGATTTAATAATATTTATAATGAAAATTGAAAAAGCCTAGAATTTAAGGTGACATAAACAATAACAATTGACAGGTATTGATTGTAGGCTTTTTAAAATAATGTCTATTTCTAGATGTACATTATCTTCAGTAAAAAAAAGAACATTGAATTAATTTGTAAGACATATTTAAATGCTAAGGTCTACAATAATGTGGTTGAATGAAAAACATTTGAGACCTTTTGGTGGCCAGCTTGACATATCAAAAGCCAAGTTAGGCTCCCTAAAGGAAAAATGAAAATACCCCATGTGGACAAGAAGAATGTGATGATTATCAAAACAGTTCCTCAAAGCCCTTAGAGAATTAATCAACATGCAAAATTATCCACCATTGAAGAACATGGTGACAATTCTTCACAGAATACATGGGATTGGTTTGTTGTAATTTTTCTTTAGACTGTACATGTAGCTGATTTTTTTGTGAATAATAGCACTTACAGACTGCCATCTAATTCTAACAACAGTGTGTTATGTTTCAGAGTGTTTATAACAACATCAGCCGTGTGCTAGAAGTGGCCGACCAACTGAGTGAGGCTGTACACTATGAATCTGACCGAATCGAAGCTCTAGCACAGGCTGTCAGTTGCGAGTGGAAATCATTTGATATGAACATTAATCAGCGGAGTTGTTTACTAGCATGTTCAGTTGCATATCACAAACACAGCGAAGAGGTAAATACTGAATGTAAATGCATGAACAGCAAATACTTGACCTGGGAGGTTTTGGTAGTGTATGTTAATTTATATGCCTTTTGTTTGTTATAAGTATTTTTATCTGTGGTTTCAGACTCTTGCTGATTTCTCGTATAATACACTTTTACAGTGTGTTAGTAATACACTTACAAAAACTTTAACAACAGCAAAATCCTGCAGTTACTGATACCTTTTTTCATTGTAGCCTTCGTAATGATAAATTAAACTTTAATGATAAATTGCAGCTGAACTTAAGCTTTTTTGTGTTACTGAGAGGTCTTATGAGAAATTCAACAACAACCAACCATATATGTGGCTAAAGAACAACTGAGTATATGTACTGCTTTAAGTACATGTAATTTCATTCACATTTGTACCTCAACGTTCACTGCATCTCAGAAATTCATCTTTCTTTTGCATCAACCGACTGAAATCCTATCAAATAATTTATTGATAGTAAGATTAGGCATTAGTTCTAATTTATTTAGTATGTTTGATGCTTGATGTGAGTTTAGCAAAAGATTCATGCCATGGCAGAGTATAACCAAATTACTTTATTGTTTTACGTAGTTTCTTCACAATGTAAAACTCTGGCAAGAAAAGCTGCAAAATGATGAATACCTGGATGTCAAGGAAGTTGTTGGAGTGGAAAACTTATTAACAGATCTAAATGATTTACGGCAAGAAATTGAAGATTCATTTGAGACTGTCGGCTCAGACAGCAAGGCACTGCTAGCAGAACTTCAAAAAAATCCTGTTAATGTGGAAAATCAGTTTCTGAAAAATCCTCAATTTTCTGAAGAAGCAGGATCCCATGTGATGGACATTTACTTGGAAGTTCACGAACAGCACAGACAATTAGGAATGTTATGGGAAAAACGCAAGGCAAGACTAAAAGAATATTTACACTTGTGTATGTTTGATCAGGATAGCTCCCAGGTAAACAACTTCTTGGTGAACATGTAATGTGGTTTATAATTGGTTGTGTAGTGTCATAGTCTATACAAATAGGAAAGTATGTATTCTTGTCCAGCAAGCAAGCTGGGAGAAAATTGAATGCTGATGAGTGAAGTGAGGTAACAAAGGGCCTGGATCTTTGCACTCATCTCTTACAACAATGCAGCACAAACTGCAGCATTTAGGTGCTGGTCTTTGTTTGACCTTATCGTGTAACACGCTCTGTTGGGGGAAGAGCAGGTTGTGTGACTCGACTAAACAATGACTGCAAAAGAGCCTGTGTAGGAGGCAAATACTGTTATTTGTGACAGTGACCACAACTACAGTACACATACAGACATGTTTTAGTAATGGATGACACCTGCAAAGCAATTGCATCTGCATTTAAATTTGCTACCTCCTACTTATCATATTGAAAGCTTAACGAGTTTAAAAGTTGAAATCTGGGTGTAGTCAGCTCAGGCTCTCAAACATTGTTCATGAAATAAACAAAACAAAACAAAACAAAACAAAACACACAAAAAAAAACTTCTCTGTCCGAACTTTTTAATTTTTTTGACTGTCTGACAACCAACAGTCATCTTCAGAATCCAATGAAAAGTTAATTGTCAGTGTGACTTTTTTAATTCATGTTTTTAGCTGTAAAGTTCATTGTTTAATGGGTGCATAGAACTCAGACGAAGTTTGAATTCTGCTGTATTATTGTTTCCTGGGTTTTCTTATGTTTTCTTGTTTTGTGAAAATGATCAAAACAAATCTTTTTTTAACTGAGGTTGTCCTGTTTGTAAATCATATCTATGGCTTGATGTACTTTGAAAAATTTAATCATTTGATGCAAACATTTGCCAAAGTGCTTGTACTGTAAATATTAATGATGTGCCAATTACCTTTTAGAGTAAATTGATGGTTAGTTAGGTATCAGTTCATTAATCTCTTAAGGAATTGAAGTTTTTTTGTAATTTGGTGAAGGCTTTTTAACGATTCCCTCTTGCAAAATTGTTTTTGACTACTTCTGTCAACAAGCCTTAGCGTGATGTGTAGGGATATTTTATAGTGATTTACTTTTAAGTTGATAACAGTACTTATTCGTCTTCTATGATGAGATAATTGATTTAAAAAATACTTCCCAGGGGTAGGTCGGTAGACATTTGTTTGTTCGTTACCGACCCCTGGTTAGGAAAAGTTTGTTAGCCTGTTGTGGAGAGACGGAACTTATGTTTCACCTGTTGAATGGTAATTCTGTGAACAATAATGATCCTTCCAATACTAATTAAGTTTTTTTGATTTGTTTTCTTTGAACAATTTCCTTATTTCTTGTTAAATTTTAAGCAACTACAAATACTCGGACGTACCCTCACTAGTCGTTGTCGTTAAATTATCTTGGTTTGGTCACAGTAATAGTTGGAAATTTTTTTAAAGATTGTTCCTTGTAAATTATGCAAAAGCTTGTTTCCACCTCGATTTAGCATTTTATTTTTTACTATTTAAAAGGTGTGAATGGCGTGTGATATTTCCTAAGGGAAAGATTTTTTTTCAAACTTCTTTGCTATTAAGAGAAATTGTGTTAGAAATTATTGCTCGTTGAGAATTATTACTTTTGTGTTCTTTTGCGTACGAAATTTTAAACATGAAGATTTTCCTAGCAGACTTCTGTATTAATAGATATTTGTATCACACCCTAAGGCAGTAACATCCAATCACATTCAAGCTTTTTTATTTCATTTACAACGAAGCATTAGAAGTGGCAAAGAATGATTGCTTTGCTTGGGTTTCACCTGTATGTTGGGGAAGTTTTTCCCCTCATTGTCGTTATAAATGTGTGAGGTTTTGCTGGAATTGGTTCTGTGTAAAGATCAGCCGAATGATACCGCTTTTAGATATTGGATAGGACGAATGGTGAGCTGATATGTTCAGTACAGTTTGTTGTGAAGTATACCGGTACTAGCCGAGCCGATTTATTCAAAATACGTTGCGTTATAAATTGGTATTCATGGTCTATTGTGTAAAATCAAGTTTCGAAACGTTAACAGTTTTATTAGAATATCTGCAGCAATATTTTTTACGAAGTAGTCTGTGATGTTTGACAAGGAAATTTAGCGTACGAAAGTGACATGAGTGTTTTTCTTGAATTTTTCATGTCACGAATATTCGGTTTCGTTTTCATTACTTTAGTATTTGTTTTGAAATATTAAGATAAGTATCGACAACTCTTTGCTTCTTCTGAAGTCAGTATTTACTCTAGATTTAGCTTTTTTGTTTTGCTCGCTGTTTCATGAAGTCGCTATTACATTTTTCGTCTTCCTCTTCGTCATTTACACGTGTCGTATGGTATAATATGTCACAACTGTTTCAAATCGAAGATAAAACCATTAGCATGAAACGAAATTAATTCTACCTAGTCCTGTAAACTCGTTGTGTTCTTTGCTATTTTTATTGAGGAAGCCAAAAATACGTATTGGGCTGAATAGGCTTCCATTGAATCAACTAAATATTTGGGTCTGTTCAGTTAATATACTGTGTTCTATTTATTTACTTTTTAGCCCCAGGTCATTCACTAACTTTAGATATTCTTTGGTGAAATATTTCTCTCGTTGGGAAAATCGTACCATACGAATTATAAGCTTTGAACTGTGTTGTGTGTATTTAATTTTTGCCTTAGTAGTATCTCACCGTTGACATTTCTCTGAATTTATGCCCAATTTTATTTCACTTTCGATGTATGTGAGAGGTCTTCGTTTTGCATTTAGCCTTCCTCTTGTTCGAGGGATTTTTTCGTATTTAAAACTCGTGAATTTACTATAGGAAGCGGACGTAAATTTTAAACCAACACAACCGGCCGAGAGTGGAAGAAAGATGGTCTTCACAAACAAGTCCTTCCTTTATTCAACAGGTGTTGAATAAAGAACATGGCACTCTTCGAAGATAGTTTACATTTAAATGCTCAAATTATGCTAATTTATGCGAAATTTGGTCTGATATGCAAAGTAGTCTTTGTATGGTCGACAGTGAGATTACTGAGAGTGGCAGCTATTGTGTTTATGGAAGGCAATATATTGTTTTATTAAGCGTTTTGATCACGTTCTTCGTGTATTTTCTTTAAGAGAGTGGTTGGTTTCCTGACATGTGTAAATTTAATTCTTTTGATTGCTTTTCTCAATTCAGACAAATTGAAAGGGAACCTCCTTTTAGTTCAAGATGATTTGTAATTGAAAGGGAAAAAACCCAAAGGGAATAATTTTTTATGTGGAATTAGATTTGACAGGAGCTTGGAACAGGTGTTCTGGCAAAATGTTTTTAAATTTTAATGCGCTTTATTTCTAACTGTATTTACAAATGCTGAAATCCCCCTCAAGCCTCTAAGCATGCCCGACATAAAAGTGAAAATTTGTTACAGCTGAATTCTGAAGTGTTACCTCGAAGATCAGGCAGTTTTGCTTTAAGCATTCAATTGTGTTATCGGGAAAAAAAAACCTTTTAGTTCTGCATCGGGATGTTTAAGCTGAGGTGTGGATTTTGCTGTAAGATGTATTGCTGCAAGAGAAAGAGATTGAAATGAATTGAGATGAAACATTTCACTAGGTAGTTTCGAGTTACTAACATGTCTCTTAAATTGGTAGGTACATTTTCCATAAATATGTTTGCTAAATGTTTTTTTTTTCATTTAATTTAGTGACAGAATGTTTTTTAACAACAATTTGTAGTTGTTAGGACATTTGCTGTCAAAATATTCGATAGTAAGTAATAAATCATTTTATTGCTCAAGTTCGTGGAGGGAAAAATCTAATTTTACCAGTGTAGCTTGAAATACAGAATATTTGAATTTTACTCGTGGAATTTCAATTCTTGTTTTCAATGAAAAATTGTACAATTTTCCGATTCAACGACTCTAAATTTGCTTTCTCTCAGAGTAGCGGCTTTATCGTTTTCCCTCAGGGCACAATCCATTTATAGAAATCTAACCACTATTAAAGTAGCTTTTAGTAAAGTTGCTTTTGTAAAGTTGTATATGTATTAGGCTTTTTATCTGAAGGTACATTATTCGCATATCAATCACTCGATCTTTGTTATGTTCTTTCCAATAAGGAAGCTAGATACCTTAACTCATTACTTATCTCCTTTTTATGTTTTGTATCGTGAACGGTTGTGAAGTCTGTCGTGAAACTTGTAACATTACTATATTTTGTAGATAGATTAGAAAGAAGTTAAGTTTTTTTTTTTCTTCACTTGTTTTGTTTTATTTTGTTTTGTTTTTTTTTTCGCTATACGTTTTTATAGCAGACTTGAATAAACCTAACAACAGATTTTGTCGAGGAAGCTAAAATAGACCAAACCGCGACTCAAAAGCAACGTGTTTATCTATATATTTTTCTCAGATAAGACAGAGACGTCTGGTTCGTTAGGGAAAGGGAGCATTTTGTCATTGTTGTGTTTACGGTCACGGTTTACGGTCACGGTTTTTTCACACCACTACTTTGCCACAAAAACCGAGCTTGGAAAACGAAATTTGCGTGATAGTGTGTGTATGTGGTCGAAAGCAAGGCAACTGACATTGTCCTGCAGTTTCGAACTATATTTACCCATTTGTGTTAGATTGTTATTGATAGTTGTGTTCGGTATGTTCGTTAAGAGAGGTCAATGGTTGGATAAGGTTTTCATCGCTGTGGAAAGGAAAGTTAGTCGTCATTACGAAATCTCTGATCGTAAGCAAAGTTAGAGTAGAAGTAGCTATGGCACTGAATTATTTTTGTTTACATATTTTTAAACTTAAAGCTCTTTGATATATATATTGCATTTAATCCGTCTAATTTTCATTTTGTTTAAAGTTCTACCTTTCTAACGTTGATCTTTCTTTGGGGAAAAAAATTTTTTTTTTCTATCTCATTTTATTTGACTGAAGTTAAATTTCGTGACAATTCCTTCGAGGTAAACTTTAAAAGGCTTCCGTGGTAAAGCACGTTCGATATTGCACCCAACGTGAATTAATTATCATATCAGCATAATATATTTTTACCTGTGGTCTTTTGCCAGTGTTGTTTTGAATTGACAGTAATTTTTACTGATTTATAATCGTGGAGGGACGAAACGATTTGTCGTCTCAGCCGAATTTTTTTTTTTTGTACCATTTACAAATAACAATATTTACTTAAGTCAAATACCGGTAACAGTGATATCACTTTGCTATATTTGATTTTTATATTGCTTACTAATTTCAACCAATATTTACATTTGAGTCGCGTAACTGCTATAAGACACAGCCTCATAACTTGATCTAGGTCCTTCTCCAGGTCTAGTTTAGAGAATGAACGCAATTTCCAGTGTATTCCCTCTGACGACTGTCAGTGGTCGTGAAATTGGTTCTGCTATGATGTTCAAGTAATTTGTTTCACAACTGAAAACGAAATAATCTTTTAAACGAGAAAGACCCAAACATATTAGTCTGTTAAGGTAAGAAAAAAAAACACACACACACACGCACACACACACACACACACGCACACGCACACGCACACGCACACACAAAGATAGTACAGGTTCCCGAAAACGAACAGAGATGGGAGAGAATTGAGTATAGTGACACGGACTGTGAACGCCAATAGTCCATTTTACGGTTGGGTGCTTGGTTGCTAAGCCTTTAAAGAGGAGTGAGGCAAAGGGTGACCTTGTTATGATACAAACGTGGCTGCTTTTCAAATGTAAATTACTTTGTTATCACGCTAAACTAGATACTGGTCTCGATCACAACAAGGTCACCTTCAGCCTCACTCCAGATCAAAGGCTTGGGAACTGAGTAAACAACTGTAAAATGGCCAATTCTAAAACAGCAGCCCTTAGTAGTTGGCCCTTTAACTTCCAGAAGTGATTAACATGTAACTTCTCCCTATAATATCCATACATTATCCAGCAAACATGTAATGAGAGTACGCAAATGCTCCAAGAGTACCACTAGCAATTAAGGGGACCCAATCTTTAACAGGCTTGTGTGCATGGCATGCCTTAGAGTGCTTTTGGATCGAGTGTCATGGACCCAAATCCAAAGGAATCACAATAGCCAATCAGAACTAAGGAAATATCGCAAGGAGCCAATAAGAGCTCAAAGTGAAGACTGGAAATGCACCTGAAGCGCGGGAAAACGCGGGCGACCATGTCGCGATTGGCTTTAGTTTTTAATCTGATTGGTCGAGTGTGAAGAATTGTACAGATGTGTAATTCTATGTCGTTTGTTTGTTTGCTATTATTTTTCTAGGTTATAAAGTGGATTGAGGATCATGGAGAGACGTTTCTGTCCAAACACACAGGTGTTGGCAAGTCGCTTGTTAAAGCAGAGGCACTGCTAAAGAGACACGAGGAGTTTGAAAGCATTGCGCAGGTTAGAAACGAGGGTTTTTCTAAAGACATTTAAATGTGAACCTCCCTCTACATCTCAATGAACAGTACCTCTTTAAAGTACTGCTCAATAGCCTTCATTTGAATTGTCATAGCGTACGAGCACACTCTCATTATCAGCGCTTCGGCGCGTGCGTCAGTGCCAGACTACCGGCAAACCTCTCCCGACTCGTCTCCAATCTTCCAGCGAGTGGAGAAATACGCGTCCTGCTTGCAGACAAGAACAGTCACACACCAGGGTTACACACACAGACCTAAAAGGTAGAACTTCCTTGAATGGCCGGCTACACACCAGGCCCCGGCTGTTCGAAGGGTGGATAACTCTATCCACGGGATACTGGGGCGGATCCAGGATTTAGTCAAGGGGGGTTCGGAGAATTGTTCCCCTTCTGAGGGGTCCAAGGTTTTGAAAATTGGGTCTTCGGAAACATGATTTCCAGCGTTCTGAGGGAAAATTTAGGGGATTCGACCGAACCACCCCAAGCACCCCTGGATCCGCCCCAGGGATAAATCCCTATCTGGTGGATAGTGGAGCACGTTCAGTCCTTGATACTTATCTGTTAAGCTCGCTTTCCGCCGCTCTCTCGGGTCCAGTCTTTTTCGTTCCTCCCTGGGGAGGAGCGCGGGGCTCCGGTTGCCGAACAGTGGCTGGTAATCGAGCCTACTTATCTGCTAGATAGCGATTTATCTGTTGGATTGCGTTACCTTCTCTTTGAATAACTGGACCCAGGTTTTTACCCAAGGACTTAAAAGTCAGATTCGCCTGCACGACATAGTAAGGAACAAAGATGGAAGTAAATTTTATGACAGCGTAGGAAAACGAAACTTCGAGTATTAGAAGTTACTCAATATTCACTTATATTTGAATTGTCACACACTAAGGATCTATGGAAATGACACCCACCTTATCTTCAAAAGATATGGCTTCATTTCCTTCTCAGTTTTATAATCAATTGACGTGAGTAGATTTTGATTTCATTTCCTACCTCTTCTGGGAGAATACAAACCACTTAGTGTGATTTCCTATTTGCCAGTTTTAATTCAGGAAATTTTTTTTGTGACGTCTTGTTGGGGTTACACCTCGATCACATTTCTTGCAGTAATGCCAAAACCTTATGTTCTATCTCCTCATTATTTGTCGAATTTCCGTTTTAAATGGCTTTAAAATTTTCACAACTTCATTTATTCACCCCCCTTGTGGTATTAGTTCTTAAAATATTTTTCTTCTTCAACGAACAGTCAAGTTTTTTCTTTCTGTCTCTTTTATGAATGCCATGAAACGACTTTTTTCAAGTCTGGAACCGTTACAAATTATTCTCCAGGCCAGCGTCACCTGTCTGCCGTTATTAATTTAAGGGGCACTTAGTGATTTAGTCATTGTCTGCTTCAAGAGTATCTGATGGTTTTTTTCGCTTTTATTGATGACTTTTCCGATCCGGAATACACAACATCCCTTGTCTGAAGTAATTAGTTAATGCTATTTGAGAAATTAATCGAATTTGAACAGGTTTGAATTTTCAGATTGGTTTTTTGCTCCTTCCTGAAGTGTAGTTTTTTCCCTTTGCGAAAGAAATCATTTCTATTGGAGCGTTTCCTAAGTCTTGAGTTTTAAATAATTTGTTCCATTTGTTCCGATAGATTCCTTTAACTCCAGTGTTAAAGCCTCAATTAAAAATAGCATGTAACAGTTAGCGTGTCCTATCTCTTACATCTGTAGCCCCGGAGAGTAAACCCTGTTGTGTTATCCGTCAGTTGAAAGCCACTGAACAGTACTTGGTAAAATTCTGTTCATCAGCTTTCAACTGTGTAAGGTTTTTCTGAGGTGTGGTGGTTAAAATTGGTGTGTGACAGTTTAATTGGAATCAACTCATTATGATTTTCAACCTCTTTTCGTTGAAAAGAGAAATTAATTTTTGCCGTGTGCAAATTTGTTGATGTGTTTTCTTGTTACTAAAACGGTGTAGAGGTTAACTTAAATTGGTCGTTAATCCGTAAAAACTCATTCTTGCCTTGCGTGTTTTTGCTTACCACAAAGTCTACAAGTGCTGAACTTTGCTCTTCACTAAGTGCTTTTTGATAAATTCAATTTTCGTTTGTGTAGATGTTTTTTATTTGCGCTGATTAGTGCGTGCTAAAGTGACGGAGCAAGTTCATCCGTTTTTCGACTTAGTCGCATTTCTTACCGCCAAATGTCGTCTTTCTGTAAATTATGTTAGACGAGTTTTAATTTTCTGTTATCTTGTTGTCCTATGAAAACAATGTCACACTATGAAAATAACCTTTCCACTTGAACATGTTTGCATTTTTGCTAATCTTTAGATTACGTTACTGTTGACGTTTTTCCACATTCTTCCAGAATTACAACGTGAAAAGTTTTGATTTTGTCTGTAAAAAGACAAAATTTTTCTACTGCTGTTAAATTCGCGATAAGGGTAATTAAGACAATTGCCAATTATTTTATTAAAGCTCGGTGTAAGTAAAGTCACGAAAGGTTAGATGAGGCCGCAGATTTATTTCGGGAAGTATTTTCGAGGAAATCGTGTGAAAAATTGTCTGTTATGCAGATGGGTGGGAATGGTTGCGTGTAATCTGAAGTATTGTTATCCGATTTAGATAGATCCAACACGTCTGCCTCGCGGCTTATTTTAGAAATAAGTACTTTTGCATCACGCTTCACTATTTTTGCGGTTTTATGTTTCAGAATACCTACACAAATGCGGCTAAACTGCTCGAAGCCGCCCGCCATTTGGCGAGTACAGGCGAGTGTGACCCGAACGAGATACAGAAGCGCGTCGACTACTTCGAACAGCGCGTCCAAGAGTTTATCGGTCGGGTGAACAGACGGAAAACCTTGCTGAAATTAGCTGTCAATTTCTATTCCCAGACACAAAAGGTAAGGCTTGCGCATATTGACTTCAATCAAAGTTAATTATCAATCGATCGTTCCAGGAGGTCATATATTGTGTCATATGGTGTAGACAACAGCGCGGTCGAATTTCACTCAGGATGTGAGAAACGACATGGCTTGGTTCTTTCAACGAAAACGTTTTGCGCGCACTGTGAGTCCTTGAATTCGTCTGTGACACAACACTTAGTTGCTTTATTTGTTAACATGTTTCCTACCGCCCTGATCAGACCTCTGAAAGTATGCAACGCGTGCATGCATCAGGCAAGTTCTTCTTAACTTCCTTGGTAGCCATATTTCCAGTTGTACGTGATGTAAATGTCAGATCTAACATGTTAAAGGCGATCTTGTGAAAATCGTCTTCATTCAGTAGCGTGAATTTTATATCCATCGTGGATTGAGGAGAACTCCTTTTTGTAAAGATCTGTTAAGTTTTTTTTTTTTTTTTTTTATTGAGTACGTGTCGCTTCAGCTCAGGACGGGAAGAGGATGAGACCAATTCATTCTCCGCTTCTGTTACTTAATTTGTCTTGTTATTCTGTTTTATTGACCTATTATTTTACGTCCATCTTCGTGCTGTCATTCATGAAGGTTCTGGAATTTAATTGACACGGCTGATCTTATGCAAGATTTGTGTCAGCGGCTGCGCTTTGAGCTGACGGCTAGTGAGAAGGCCTGGTTAGGTAGTCGGGGTGCGTAGCTATCAAGTTCAGTGCGCCAGCCCTCTCCTCTAAAAAAATCTGTCCAGTTGTTGCAGTGTTGCTCTTGGCTCACTCACGCGCGCTGCCCGTGATCAATGTTTAACATGAGTGTGGCAGAGTTTGATACGGACGATGACTCCACAGTGGTTTTCGTAATAACTCTATCGTCGCTTTTTTTTCAGCTCTCTGAATTAGTGGAGCAGCTTAAAGCGCAGTTAGAACTCGAAGAAGTGTCCGACAATCCGGACAACATTGCCACTGTGTTAACGAACTTAAAGCACCAGGGGGAAGCGACTTTGGATTCGATCCATACGGCCATTGATGAAGGAGAAACGATCATCGAAGAACTTAAACTTGCCAGCTCTGATGGTTTGGACTCGAATTCGCTTCAACATGTGGAGAAGGTTATCAAAGAGCTTGACAGAGTACGGAGAGCCATCGAACATTCGTGGACGCGAAGGAGGCAGCAGTTAGAATGCTGGTTACAGTTGCGGGAATTTGAGAGATCTGCAAAACTGGTACAGTATTTCCTTTAGCACCCAGTAGTGCTACATGCACGAAATTAAACTCCACTCGTACGTCCTTCTAGCGAAAGTAGGCGACATTCCTTTGCAATCTTTGTCGCGATCCCAAAGCAAAAAGCTCAAATCACTTAGCCAGGGTGCAAATAGCTCTTGACAAGTTCTGTGTAAGAACTCGTAAGAGTTTAGTGTGTGTTCTTCCTGTCTTTGCTTTGAGCCGGATGAGCGAACTTGTTTCTCAGCGGGAACGTAGCAATATATTTAAAGCTTTGCGAATATGTAGGTTCAAATAGGATTTTTCGAAGTGGAATTCTCGCGTTGAATCCGTCATAAGGTGATTACAACGATGTTAGGGGTCACATTTATGAAATTGCGTGCTTAGATTTTTCTGCTGTGTGCATGCTTTTGTTCTACACCTCATGTTTTCATTTACGAAGCGCTTTCTCGGATGATTAGCTTGTAAACACACAACAATTTTCACCCGAGTGGTAGAAGACTTCATTACGGTCATATACAGATTTATCTGTTGAACTTAAGCGGAGCGCGAGTCTAAAATTAGCGGCTCTTGTTTGGAATTCGCACCACAGAACTTTTTCTTCTCAAATATCCATTATGCATTAGTATTCTTATCTTTGTTCAAAGCAGCAATGTAAATAAACATTAAGTCGGCAATTGATACTAGGTTTTTGGGATGTATATACATAGTGAAATTTGATATACATCACACGTTGTTGTGTGTTACGTTTTGGAACGTTTTCGCTCTCGTATTAAACTTATGTTCGTAGGCTATCTCAAATATTTCTCGCCCTGTACTGAAGATATCTTTTGAAGTTTTTTCTGGCGGAACTGTCGGCATCTTTGTACGAATAAGCATGCATGGCCGTCGAACCATGGAAAGGTACGGTTTTTTTCTACCGGCAACTGTTAATTTTACAGATTCATTCACCTTATCTTGACCTGGAAATGTTTTTCTTTGGAGGAACTTTTTTGAATTATTTCTTGTTAAGTTACCAAACTAGAATCTTACATTTTTAAAATAAATTGCGCATCGAAATGAAGTTGTTTCAGATGAGTGCCTTCTGTTCCGTTCCTTTGTGGAGTTGAGAATCTCGTTGACCCCATTTAACTTTAAGTTGCTCTTTAAACGGTAATGTAACATCTCTAATAGAAATAAAATCCGTGGGCGGGTAATTTGGTGATATATATTGGCTCTCAGTTTTTTTTCGCGAAGTCGGTTTGGCACTTGTTTGGAAAGTTTGTGAAAACAAGTATTGTCTTGGCAATCATATCAATTTCAAAAGATTTGCACGTCAATGGTCTCCATCTCAAAAGGTCGCAATCCTTGGCGGTGAGAAGCAAGTGAGAGAGCGTGTTTTAGAGGTGTAAAACGTTTTAACACAGGAATTTTTACCGCTGATTTACTCGGTAACGCTCGAATATTTCTTTTGACCAACTGCTTTGACTGTGTGTCGTAAGTTAGCTTTACAGATTCGGCTTCAGGTCAACGTTTCCACTCTTAAGACGTTGGAAGGTATTCTCCTTACGTAAAAAATATCATTTGGATAACTTTGGAAACTCTCTTTTGTACTTCTTAGAAACATTGATCTGTGGGTTATATTTGGGTCTTCACGTTTTGTATCTTTATTGACACAGTCGTATGTGTCAAAAACTTTGTACAGCTTGGCAAACAGTACCACAGGTACAAGAATGTTATATACCATCAGCTTTTATTTGATGTCCATTTGGAGTACCTTTCATCAATATTTTCAAAAAAATTAGCAATAAAATTGTTCAGGAAGCTTTCATTTTGAAGTGCAAATTATTCATTTTCCAAGTTATTATGGCACTTGAACTAATCTAGGCTGAAAGGAAAGCAAACAGTTTTCCCCTGTCAATCGTTAGTTATTTGTTAAGAAATTCTATATGATGTTTTAAAGCTGAAGTACTTTCTTAGCTGGTTAATCTCACTCAATACGAAGACATTTTGGTGTCTGGCACTACAAAAGATATCGTATGCCGCGTGCCAATCAGGTATTCATTCGTCGAAGAGTTCCGTACAACATGCACGCTCCAACAGAGTATCAATCTTTCCACTTTTATTTATGAGCAGAAAGGAATTTCTTCTTACATTATTAACACATTTTTAAGCAGAAAGGTGTTGAAACATTCCAGAAAGAAAAGTCAGCTATATGATGTTTTTAGTGAACACCCAACTCTCATATCTTGGATCAGCGTTCAGCAGACGGAGAGGGCCTGGGAGAAGAAATGAAATTTGGATCTTGGGAGTGAATCGATTAAATTATTTTACGTATCAGCTGAATTGTCATTTATGATGTCTGAAAAGTGATGAGAAGATCCGTAAATACGATTAGGTGATCCACTGCGAGATAATAATTGTTCTTGTGTGGTATGATTAGTACCAGATGAAGGTTGTCTCGGACGTCATCTGTCTACGGACTCTAAAGTTAGAACTGCTCCTTCTTGCATTATGCTTTCTTCCACAGGCTAAAGCTCACTTGCAAGCACTGGTCGGTAGCGTTCATTTTTGAGCAGTTCTGCACCAGGGTTTCATTTGCAGACGTCAAAGTTAGAGCCACAGTTTACAGTTTGACGTATAAAACCACTTGGAATGACCACTCAGTTCTCAATAGCTTTCATTTGATTGATCTCATACTAGCGTTCCATCCACAGATTTCAGAGGTATAGAAGCCCAATGAACAGCTTAACAACTTGAAACAGAACCACATGAAAAAAAAAACTGCTCTGTAGCTTTCATTTGAATGGTCATACACAAGGGTTTTATCCACCGGGTTAAAAGTTAGAACCCTCTACTACAGCCTAGTAAAGAAATGTTTAATAGCTTTGATTTGAATGGTTCTTCCAAAGACGTACGTGTGGTTGGTATAAACTCCGTTTGCAACATATGAAAATTAGCATAAGGAAATATTGCGCTGAGGCTTCATCCGTGATGTAACAGTACCACATATACCACTGGTGTCCCAAGCTCACGCCTCGAGAAAAGCGGACATGTACGTAATTATTTTATGAAATTTTCCCGCGTTGGTTGACGTGGTGTCCGAGAATTAATCTTTGGTTTTCTCGAGATGTGAGCTTGATGCACATGTGCTTATACCTGCATACTGAAGGTTTGATGAATTCATATTTTGGAACGTTTTTTGTGGGTAAATTCTATTCGAGGTCCAATTAGTACCCAACAATTACCTTGAGTGCACTCAATGATATTGACAACTTTTGTTTGCGTGCAAGAACCTACGAAAGTAGTCGTTGGGGACGAGAAATCTTTTTTAATCTGTGCTATCGGGAATGAAGTTCGACCGCCAATAATGAGCTCTTGAAATTCCTTGGTGTTAAATGGCCGATTAACATGCTCTTAAGATCAGTAAAACCATGGCTAGACAAAACAGGTACCATTACCTGTCGATAGCTTTTCGCTTTATATTGTCGTTGTAAGAAGATTCAAACGTTGTGAGGTTCTTTGTGTCACTTGCGTTTGAAAATAACCATTCAATTTTCAGTCGTAGCCTTCGAAAACTGAATTCTTTGGCCGCTTATTGGAACAGTTCGCATGCAAGAACTTCTTTTCGTACTGATTTTCGACTCAAAGACAGACTTTGATATTGGCGAGCAGAAGAGGTCGTTAACAGAGGGAGATTGTTCACTAAGGAGCAAAAAAAAGGGGAAAAATTTAGCAAGAATCTGCAAAGTATGTAATTTGGAATCCGATGTAATCTTTTCTATCCTAGCTGTCTTCATTTCATCTTAGTTTATGCTTTCGAATGTTTCCTTTTTCTATATAACCAAACTCATATTTTGTAGTTTCATTTTGTTTTCATTCCCTTTACTATATTGGTTTTCCATCTCACTAGACTAATATTTTAAAGTTTCCTTTACGATGAAGATAATTTTGCGCGTCTCTAAAGACAACTCAAAGCATCGTGATACAGTCGAGTTGCTCATTTACAATCCGTGTCAATCTTGTCCATCTTCGACTATCTTAGAGACTTTTTGGGTTGTGGTCGTCCCTGCAGTGTTTTTCTCTTTCTCCAATCTGATAATTTGTATTTTCATTTACGATGAGGATATTTTTTCTCGTGTCAGTAGAAGGTTCTTAGCATATTGGCGTACAATGCATTTGTCATCGAGAGGAGACCATTTTTTCGTACTTCTGTAACAGCAAAGAGTAAACTTCCGCGGCGAAATTTTTATTTAACGCTTTACCTAAACTATCCCTTAAGTCGAAGATGAAATTTAAAAACAACAACATTTACGAAGTCTTTTTCCTGTTTTCGACCCCAAGTTGTTAAGGAAGGTCTCTCGAATTAAACAACCAACATCGACGTGATGGAATCTCGAGAGTCATAATTATACGATAATTAGATAATCACACCTTGTATTGATCCCAAATCAATATTTACTCAGTGACGACGGAAGAAGCTTCCTTAACAACTGTTGGTTTCTCACAGCAACCTCCCATGTAACAGTTTTTCCTTTTGCTTTTCAGCTTAAAGATCGTCTGGAAATTTGTGATGAGCACTTGGAAAAAGGAAGTGTCGCCCTGGATTTACCTCGAGCTAAACAATCGCTCGCCCATCTTGAAGAGCAAATGAAAGACATTGAAAATGCCGCCTCGAGAACGTTTTGTCGCGGCGAGGAACTTATAGATTATTTAAAACAATCTGAGATAGAACTGCGCGTGAAGGATCCGTTAACGTTAGAAAACATGGATGCTCAATCGCACATTTATAATTTACTAGAAGTTTTACACCGTAAAAGGAGAGATCTTCGGGATTTGGCGGAGGAAAGGAAAATTAAACTCGAACAGAATTTGCTCCTACGACAATTAGAGAGTGATGCAAAACAGGTGAGGAAAGATAT